GCGGCGGCCGGCCCACGAGCGAAGCGGGCGGGCGGAAACCAGAGTGTCGAGGGTCCTTGCGGGCGGGCCATGTGCTCGTGCACGGTGGCCTCAGGCGCGTGTGCGATTTCCCGCAGCCCAGGTGGGTCAGGACACGGGACCCAGCCTTTTCCTCGCGACGAATCGTGTGGGCTGGCGTTTCGTAGATGGCAGCACTGCTATTGTAATGCCGTCTGGTTAGAAAACTTTGTTTTTGGAGAAAAGAGTAAGAATCGTGGGTTTTGCTCCACTTGTAGAATTTCTTCCCGTCACGGAGCCCAGAACCGTGTTCTGTCACAGCCCCAGTCCTTTGCCCTCTGTGAAGGGGCTCACGGTGTCACCCTCGGTCACCAGGCTCCAGGCGAGGGACGAGCCTGCTCTACACTGCGGGTCCTCCTGTCCTCCCTCCTGCGCGAGGGCCCTGCCCGCACCTTTCCCCGGCTCCGGTGCTGACCGGCCCCCACGGGGGATACGGCAGAGCAGCCCCGGAGGTCCCAGCATACCTGGAGCAGGCTGCCAGGACCCGGCTTTTACACCGGGACCGCGCCCGCCGTGTCTCGAAGCCAAAAGGCTTTGCAGTTTGTAGAACGCCGAGCTGGTGTCACTGTTAGGCCGTGCTGGGCCCGGGCCAGCGGCTCTGGTTCTGTTTCTGCAAAAGTGGTTCCGAGCTACATGGCCTCCGAGGCTGAGTCGCGTAGCCCCTGGTGGCTGCTCAGCCACACACCATTTGTGTGAGCCGAGCTGCGGGCTCAGAGTCCACTGTGGAGGCACCAGGTGCACACACTCTGTGAGGCTGCTTGTCAGGGCCAGCCTGATTGTGGTTCTGCGTGTCAGTGTCCTTTGGAGGATGTCTTCACCCCAAGGGTAGAGAGTCTGGGGACCAGAACCCCGAGTGGGCTCTTCCGGGAGCTGATGCCTCGCTGGTGGGGTCACATTGTATGTGTGTGAACCGGGCGGACTCAGGTGTGTGAACTTGACGAAGCGA